TCTAAATCTGTTGACATAGGGAACCCCAAACACAGTTTAGCAACATTCACAAATTCATTTTAGTTTGGGTAGGCACTCTGGGGGAACTTCTTTGAGGAATACTTAAAGCTACAGTGTGTAATTTTCAGCGACATCTAACGTCCAGACTGCAGACTGCAGCAACATGAACGTCTCCCCCCCACCGCTTCTCCCCCCCAACAGTACGGCGAGCGTTACGGGACAAAATGTGTTCCACGACGTCCGCATCACCTACCTTCTCAAGTGATGAGGTTTGTTTACATAGATAATTTTACATATAGTATTTCATTAGTCTGTGTAGGGTATAGATTTCATGTAGACTTTAGATAATAAATATACCCGTTATTTTTTCTACGTCGTTGTGACGTTTTGGTGAGCTGCTTTGCATGGTGATATAAACAGACGAAGTAATTGTACTCATTAGTTTAACAGCGAGATTGTGTTTGTTGGAAAAATATATATTCCCCGTTTACAGAGTCCAAGTCTTGTTTGTGGCACGGGGGTTACAAGGCGAGGAAGAGGGAGAGGAAGAGGGCGAGGGCATGCAGCTAGGGCCAGGCGAGGGAGGGGTGCCAGCGGGGTGACTAGAGCAGAGGAGGAAAGGCTTGAAGATCTCCAAAGGAGCCGGAGAGAAGTAACCGAGGTATCCAGAAATTTATTTTACAGAAAATTACTGAATCATTACCTGTGAAATGTCAGGGACGTTGCTGAATAAGTATACTGGAGAGTAACAGCATCATCACGCAGCATGTTATTGTTTTAGACAGGTCTGAGCATCCTGTACTCCAAAAACTGCAGTGATATTAGACAATTGTGTGTGTAGGATTAATTACCTGTCCAAGAGAAAACTGGCAACTTGAGCGTCACTTTGAAAACCTTTTTCCTCCATCAGTGACTTCCATCGTGTAAATGCCATGCCAATGTTGATCCGTGTTTTTTGTTGTTTCTTGTCACGCTTGCATTTATTCTCGTCGTGTTTCCGCTTCTTAGATGACGGGGGTTCGGTGTCCGCCACTTTTCGTTGTGATACAGAGTAGGCATGATCCTCCATTCGTCTGATGTTTGGCCACACAGTGCCAAACAGTTTGCAAAGTCACTCACGCCTGCCGCCTTGTTCACCTTTCTTGTTACTGAGGCGCAGTATACCTGCTTCTTCTTCTTCTTCGGTTTCAGGCAGACTAAACGCTTCTCAGGCATAATACTGCCATCTACTGTTCAGTACCGTCTCAGTTAATCTCTCTCAACTTGCCGTAGTTATTTTCGAGCGTAATGGGAGATCTCGCAATCGCTAGTTTGTTGCCTCTGCGCTTGCCGTAGCGCAAAGATGTCAGCCTCCATGGCTGCGAGACCCGCTCCTATGTAATTATAAACAACGAATTCTAAGGCAACGCAAATATTATGGTTAAAAGGCTGAGCTCATAGGTGATGATAAATACCATAGTTATGTATAATATATTAAATTTCTTACTTTATATCCCTGTAATTATTACACACTGTAGCTTTAATAAAATGATGAAAATCAGCTTGAAACAAGACATTTGACTTTGGTGTCCCTCAGCATAAAAAAAATAAACATATAAATAATAAACCTTCAGTGGAAGAAAAACAGGTATTTCCCATTAATTTCTGAAAGAAGAGGCTTAATTTCAAGTTGTACATTTTGACTAGTAAAGTATGCTGACATTAATGGCATGACTTCAATTTAATTTATAATAAAAAATCAGTTTCTAGAGCTATTGGAAAGTTGTCTTTTCTATAGTCAGAGCAGAAAATTATACCTGATGGTTGCTCTAATGGTAAAGCTTGACTGGCAACTACTGATAAGGCAGTTTTTAAGATTCAGATATGCATTACCAATTGTTGGTGTGGTATGTTGGATAGGTTCAGCTGTGATTGCAACTCCTCAAGCAACCATCTAAGCCCTCCTAAAACCATGATACATATACTTTGATGTTTAAATCGTATTTTCTAGATAGGATTTAACGTGTGGCTTGAGTGTGAAGTGAAAGACTTCGCAGAGTTGTTTTGTTTCCTTACCTGCTGTGGCAGTCAAGGCGATTAGAGCTAAGATCTTGCAGTTTAAAAACAGACAGCTGCACTGAGCTCAATATGAGTGCAGGTAAGCAGGTCAAAGAAGTCAGTGGGAGAGTTGAGAGTATGATTTTTATCAAAGAACATCACCCCATGTTTGTCCTGCACGTGATGGCTGGATAGAACATTGAAATGTCTCTGTTGTGGGTGACCTCACAAATCCTTTACTTGGTCTCGGGGCTCAGGAAACTGAACTTTTGAAAATAAAAAACGAGGTGTTTTAAATATTTTACTCACTTGAAATCCAGTAATTTCAGTGAATAATTACTTTAGAACTGCCATATTGTGTTTTTTAATTACATATATTCAGATCAGTGGAAGTTGGAGTAATGGTCTTCAGATCTTTGCCAAAAAACAAATTGTATATGTCTCCAATTGTTTTGCAAAGTTTACTTTACGGCTTTTGCATCAAAGTTTGTTTCATGTTCCATTTTTAACACCCACTTAGAATAAAAATTTCTTCAGCTACTCTTTGCTTTCCCAACATCTCCATGTACACCCTTCCCTCTAAATCTTGCACCAAGCTGTGTTTTGTTCATATTACCCCATGTGTGCTTACGGAGTAGTAGGAGTGTGAACACTTGTCCTCAGACTTGACAGATTTTGTTTTCTTCTTTACCTTTTTTTTTTCTCTCCTTAATGTTTTGCCAAGCTCGACTGCATAAAGAGGGAAATCAAGGCATAAAGTGAGATTACCAGTTGATATTAATTGCATTAAACATTGGCAGTAGGGCTATTAATATTGGTCTCTGGTGCTATACTGATAAGTACAGTACTTGGCTCTAACTGGTAAAAATTGTGCGCAGATACAGGAAATAAGAACTTCCTTTTGGTGTAAATAAATAATTTATCATTTTAATTATCTTTATCTGGCTGTTTGTTTAGTTTTCCATCATTTGGAGTCGGCAGAAACAGGATTTCTTTTTTGCAATATAAAAACAGCAACTTTTTCATAGATTTAACTGCTTTTACTCAGAGAAAAAAAAGTGTATCCTATTTATTCTAAAGTAATATATCTTTTTGGTACAAATGATCAATACACAAGCACAGATTTTTGTTTTCCCTGATACAGTAGTAGGTATAACAAATTAAATAGTTCTTCAAGTGATCAGTAATCCATGTGGAGGTATTTGTACAATGCTAAACTATATCATTCTAATGGAGCTTTAAGGTTTTTCTAAATCTTAGGGGGTTTTAAAAGAAAAGAAATACAATTCTTTGTGATATTTTCAAAAATGATAACTTTAAATGAATATAGATTTAATTCAATTGGTATTTTTGCTCGGTTTTAGTGTTATTGATGACTGATTAGCCATTTAATGCATCTCTCAAAAGAAAATTGTGACAGATGTGTTATAAGCACGTTCTGTAGTGGTTTATTTATAGCTAGCTGATTGGCAATGTGCAGCAAAACGTATGGCAGAGCTATACTGCGCCTGTGTTTCAGAAAGCTGTAGTAAACTCCTTTCCCTCCGATAACATGCAGTATCATGCTCCTCTTCAGGATTTGAAAGTAGGAATGGTATACTAGAAGCATAACAACCTATTATAAAATAATAGACAAAGCCACTGAATAGTTTGAGAAAATATATTTGAAGACTGGGAGGCAACACAAAGTAACTGCTGTTCCGACCTGCTTCCCTTTAAAGGAACTGAAAATCATATTTTTTACAAAATAATTATTCAAATGTGGTTGCTCCATTTACACTCTTTTTGGCAAATTTCAGTTATATAACTTTATCAACAACAACAAATTCAGGCAGTTAAGGTGTGGACTTTATAGTTATTTTTGAGTATATTAAGATGTTGTCATGGATGATTCTAAATCAATGTTATGGCTTGATTAACTTAATGTTAATATATAGCTTAATTTTAAGTAAGCGCAGAGAGCAGAACTTGGAATGACATTATTGCCTGGACAGTTTATAGTGAGCACATAAGGTCACACACATATAGTCCCTCATGGTACCAAAGCAAAAATAACTTATAAGAGCCACACAAGCAGGCACAGGCTGAATCAGAATACATCAAATTCACAAGGACTCTAGCCAAAGCAGATGTGTCAGCCGTTGCCATAATAAGTGCTGTTAGGACAGTGCAGTCAGTAAACAAAGGGGTAGAAAAAGGAGCCTGTATATTTCCTATCATAGTGTCTGTAGCAAAGGGACTTTGTGAGGTTCCTAACTGGTGTTAAGGAGCTGTAAGGAATCCCACCAGTCTTGCATGACATGATGTATAAGCACAGACCACCTTAAATAAATAAGCAAAATAAAAAATTATTTCTTCATGTGTCCTCTGTGTGACACATGCAAATGAACACACCTTTATATGTTTGGGGTTTTTAAATGGAGAGCTTCAGTTGTTCTCTACGATTGTGTAACTTGCATTTTTGTAGTTCTTTTTTTGAAGGCTGATTTGACCACATCCTCCTTGAATTTTGCATAATGATGTACAGAAGGCTAGAGGCTTCCTAGAATTGGAACATTAGTCTGGGTTTCCTTTCATACCTACAATAGTTTTGGCTGCTGAGGCCATAAAATGTGAAGGAATTTCATGTACTTGAATTCAAACATAAAGCAGGTGGTATACAACCATAATAGGACTATCTACAACATGGAGACCCTCAATATATGTTATATATGATTGTGCCCAGAGTTGGGAATAAACAGCTGATATCACTTGCCTCCGTAAATCACTGAGCCATTAATGATGACTGAAGTTCCTCCTGCCTCATCCTCAACACTTCCTTGTTGTCAAGGAAACTTGCAGATTAAAGGAACCACCATCGTTTCCCCCCCTGACTCAGAGATGCGAGGCAGAATGATAAAATGATACCCTTATCCCCAGTTATAGTCTGGCAGCATCTTTTATTCAAACACACTACTGGGTCATTTGGTGTTTGTTAGCTTTTATTTTTTATTAAACAAAATCAACTCTTCCCATGTATTTTGAGGTGTGAAATGTCTTTTTTTCATGTATTCTCACAGTACAATCAGTTAATGTTGATCTGAAAGAAAACATTTTTAAACTTGGCACTTAGAAAACAACCACAAAGAATTATCACCTTTAATTGTTTGGAACAAAATTTACAAATCCATTCAAACAGTCATTTTTTAAAGTCTTTTAGGATTTTTTTTTAAACTCAACTGTGAAGAATATTCAAAATACACTTTTTAATGTTGCTTTTTATTTGTACTTACAAATATCTACAATAAAGTCTTAGTGTCTGTCATGTGTCGTCTCACTTACAATAAAAATCCTTTGTAGTGTTTATTTATATCTCCTCACTCTGTAGGCACTCCAATTAGTTCTGGACTCTTCTGTTTGAGCTTGAGTATTTGTGAACGTTTGCCATGCTCAAATAGATGTCCCGTGGCTGGGCTCTCTGGCCTCTGGGATTGGTCCTCCTGGCACTGGTTGGTAGGACAATGGCATGGGTGTCTTGACTGGGCTCTGTCGGAAAAGACCCCCATTGGGCGCCCTGTGCTTGCACCGGATAGAGGGCATTGTGGCACTGCTGAGTGGCAGGGGCAAGGTTCTGCCAGCGGCTGCTCCTAGTGTCCTCCCTGCCCCACGGCTCTCCTGAAGGAAGGTGGTCACAGACAGGGGCGAGGGCCCACGGTGTGATGGGTAGTCTCGAACAGACAAGGCCTCCAGAGACTGACTGGGCTGCATATTGCCAATGTCGAGGGCGGAGATCTCGATTGACTGACCTGGCAGCTGCTTGTGTGCTAGGTCCTCATCCAGGAGGCTGTTCAAACGCTGGTGGACCTGTTCCAGGTTCACCTCTTTGTCCTAAAGATGGATGAAAGGGAGGACAGTGCCAAAGTGTGGATAAAGAATAAAAGCCAGAAGAGAATTGTGGATAGAGGATATATTGGAATGGAGAGAGCATGGATGTTATTGAGGAGAAGGTTGATAAAAAAAAAGCCAAGTTGGGACAAAAATAAAGGTTAACGATGAAATGAAAATGCAGAATGAAGGAAGAGATTTGTTATAATAGTTCTCAGTTCATCTTTACTCATGAATACAAACTCCATGCAATCTATTCTACTATCATGAGAACAGGTACTGCCCAAGCAACTTTGTTGAAAGATGCTGAAATGGTTTATTCCAGCTTCTTTCATATAGGTTTATATTTCTTTTAGTTTTAAAGCCAATGTCTTAAGTGTTCAATGGCAAATTTCAATGACTTCCACAAAATATATTCCATCTAGAGTAGGCTTACATGTGTTGCTTTGTGCAAAAGAGATATTTTTTGTATAATTGGATGACAGAGACGAGACACAGACTGAATCATCTGGTCACAACACTGATTTCAATGCAACACACAAAGATGCAAAGATGATTGAATTTAAATAAGGACAAATTGAAGTTTGCCTCTTTGTAGGAGTGTGATTATCCAGCTTACAAGATGGGACATAATACTTGACTAATGAGAACTAGACAAGAGTTTATCAATACTAAGATTCTCATTCATTGGAAAATAAGCCAAAGATAGATGTTTTAGACAGATTTCCCAATAGGTATTCTCATTCTTCATTTTGGCTTTTTCCCTGTTTGATGCACCCATTTAAGTCAGACAAAACATGACAGCCAGATATAGGATAGACAATGAGGTGAAATAATGGATGATGTGCCCTCCTGCCCTGCCCTACTGCCGGGTAACAAGCAATGCTGACAATGTTGCCTTTTAGTTTAAGTTACGGAGAGCCTATAGAGGCTTAGAAGGGATCTTCCTTATCTGTTTTTTACTTGTTTTCTTAAGCCACAGAAAGAACAGGTAAAAAGACAAGGAAGAAAAATGAATCAAATGTGTCTGCTTGCTCTCTTCCTGTCATGACAGATGCCAAAACCTAAAACTCTTTATCTCCATCTCCACTTGACCCCAAGATCATTTAGTAAAAACCATTGGTTTAAATTCAATACCTTATCTTTGTTTGTAATGACTTTTTACTATGTTGAGAAAACCTAAATATAAAACGGTCATAATTCTGACTTGACTGGGAATCCTCATAATCAAAGTGTATTTTAGTTGTATTTAGTTTGGATAATTGATTGAATTAGTTATGTGACAAAGACAGTCAGGGGTAAAGATTATAAAATAAAATTCTATAACTAGCATATAGATAAACAGAATAACTAGCCAACTTAGAGCAGATCAAACCCTTGAAAAATTTGAGCAATGCCTGCGTTTTTCTAATCCTAAATCAAGAATCTCTAACAGCCATTCCAATGCTATTTTTGATGCTTTTGATCCTTTTCAACTGATCAGTAACATTCTTAAAAGCATTTTCCATAATGTTAAACCATTTGGAATGTTCTTTTTCATTTTTATGGATATCCATTTTAAACAGCTTTCATTGTGCCTACACACAATAAAAAAATTAAATTTACACACCAAATTCTTTGAAAACAATATGCTCATTCTCTGCAGGCTTGAAACGTATGTTAAAAGAACACTATCAGACTTTTTTTTTTTTTTTTTACATTTTTCTGTTTAACACCAATGTAGCATACATCAGTTAACTAAAATAATTTTGTTTTGTAACTCTAAACACACAAAAAAAAGTAAAAAGAAAACAACTAAAGGGCACGATAATGGTTTATGGTATAAAATATGTTTAAACCACTAAGTATTCAAAACCTGTTCTCATCTCACAAATAAATTAAAGCATTTGAGGGGTAGGATTGGATAGGAGGGATTGGAATAAAAATTCCAACAGAGAAACTAAAATGTTAAACTAAACAGTAATGTTTTAAAAAAGAGTCAGTTTTAGTCTATTATTGCTTTGTGAAATAGCCATGGACTGGAAGCAAAAGAGTGAACTTTTGGTCTTTTGTTTTTGCCAGTTTAGTTTGGACCATTTTAATGTTAAACTTTTAGTTTGAGCTGATTTACTTCTGGAAACAACAGGTAATATGTCACAATAAACAATAGAAAAAAAGCATCTTGCTTGGCTGCAAAAGGCACAAGTGTATGTTGTAAGTCCTGGCCAGGGGATACCAACATAACCATGTCATCTGCAAAACAGATAGTTGATATCCATTAGTATCACAACAAAACCCCTCTGCTCCTTGACTGTGCTTAGACATCCCTACCATGAAAAATATGAATAGAACTGTGACAGAGGGCAGCCCTGCCAAAGCACAGCATGTACCGGGAACAAGTTGGTTTATGGCCTGCACTTATATTGTGCCTTTTCAAGTCAGGGGACTCCAAAGTGCTTTACACTACATTCAGTCATTCAGCCTTTCACACTTAAATTCACACACTGATGGTGGCAAGTACATTGTAGACAGCTGCCCTGGTGCAAAACTGACAAAAGCCACCATGCCCTCTTATTACCATAAGGGAGAAGTGGCTTGCCCAAAAACAAAATGACTGAGATGGATGGCGCTGGGTTTAGACCTGGCAATCCTCCAGTTGCAAATCAAACTCCTGCATTCTATGCCACTGTCGCCCAAAGTTAGACTTAATGCCAGCATTGCAAATAATACTACTGCTTTACTTGTACAGTGATCTGATGGGCGATACTCCAGGAGCATCTCCTCCAGGCAACATAAGGCACAAGGCTCAATAACTTCTCTATGTCAACATATGTGAACCAAGCTGGACTGGTCCAGTGTTCGGTAGCTGCGACAAATACCACAATTCTCAACCTGAATCTGTTAGACTACGCATAGTCCCCCACACATATAAAATGTCAGTCTGCATCATGCCATATTGATAGACAAGAGCATCACTTGGCAACCACAATAATTATCGCCACATTATTCCACACAAACAAAAATGAAATATATTGCCATTCTATTAAAACTCCAGTTTGCAAAAGCTAAATATAAAATTGTTGCTGTTGGGATCAACCTATTTAGGGAAGAGAAGGGAAAAGTATTGCTTCCCCAGCTATCGTATGACACAGTTAATTACTAAGAGAAGACTACCTACAGAGAGAAGTAACATATAAACCTGAAATCCATGGACACATACAATCAATGTTTTAAAGACTCTGTAAATGACATCAGAATTCTTTCTGGGAATAACAAGGTTCAAGTGAATTTCAGAATGAGAAATTACATAAACATAAACCTCATAGCTTGAAGATACAGGCTAAAATATCAACACTCATAACCATGACATTTGATTACATTCTGACCTGTTCCAATGCAACATACAAATAAATAAAAAAGTAAAAAACATATTAATACACTTTGATACCCAAACCTGGTTAGCCATTACTTAAACCATTCTGGAAACCAACAAGGCAGTTATCTACACAGATAACACAAATAGGTTATATCACATGGGAACTATGTATCGGCCAGACTCTCCTCTACAGCACAAGCATAGCCCCATCTGGAAAAGGTTGGATGTGTGATCCTCTGTACGTAGCTGGAACACATACTATGGTAAGTCTAATTGTTTTGAAGCCTTGCTTTGCAAGACTTGGTGGAAGAAGAGATGTGTCATCATGATCACCCCACAACATCCCTAGACAAACCTCATCTCCCACTGATGCCTAACACCGTAGAACTTTCCAACCACATCAGTGACTTCAGCTTGGGTGATAGGGAAGTTGAACTGAGAGTCCCCAGGCTCTCCTTCGACAAGGGAAAGTATTTTTATGGTTCACCAGAATCATCTAATATCATCCAATAGTCCTCCACTCCACTCAGTTTTTGCCACAGCAACTGCCTGGGTCACAGCATCACTGACCTTTCGTGTTTGACATGACGTTGAAGAATATCCAAAGCATCAGGTATAGCAAACCTTAGGGTTACAGCTAGTTATGGGTGAAAATGTCCGGAAGGCTCCAACAAAGGAGTCAGAAGACTCTATTTAGTGTTGTCTTCTGACAATAGATCCAACCGGTTGGATTTATCATCAGCTCAGCACACCTCTCTATTTGGGTGTCCAAGACACAAATCAGAGTTCAGAAGACACATCTACAAAGTCATTCTGGAACCCCTTATCTCTGAACATGATAATCATTTTGGACAATCTGTGACTACTGAATGTTCAATAATTAAAACATCACTTATCTTAAGTGTGTCTGTTTTTGTGTTATTTTTTATCACTTGGTAATTGCCACAATAGTTTGTATTATTCCCATATCTCAATTCTTAATGTTTTGTTACAAATATAAAGTTTCTATGACAAAGTCAACGCTCAGCTCATATCTTTTCCCAGCCATTATTTTGCATTGGTTGTAGACAACATGTTTGCAGTTTAGGAGCAGACTGCAGACTCCAGATTCGACTACCCCCACTGCAGAATGATGCAGTCTTTTTATGACTATCGGGTAAAATCTGGCAAAACATTGTGCAGTGTCTACAGTTTTAGGCAGAAAGTTCTGCAGAGGCCCTGTTGTAAAACTTAATTTTTAATCAGGTGTGTAGAAACCAGGGGATGATCTAAATTATTAGAAACCCTGGCTCTTAAGAAAGGAAAGACCCCAAATAAGATGAATTCAAATCAGACAAACTTAAATGATATAAGAACTTAAAATTGAATATATCAGCTTCAAATTTAATAAAAAGTGCTTCACAGACTTGTACTACATAAGAATTGCAAATGTCATTGAATTCTGTTAGTTTCCTGTTTGATATAATATTGACTATTTGGGAAAATAATTTTTTTTTGTAAAAAAATAAATAAATATTGCTTTCTTTTGTAATAGTTTGAACTGGGATTTTTACCTAGATACTTTGCATTGACCAATTTAACACGAGAGCTAGATAATACCAGTACTAATATAATGATTAACACAAAAAACAAAACAAACAAAACACCACAGGCTGTGATGTCGACCTAAGCACTTAATATGTAAAACTTTTATGAGAACATCTTTGGAAATCATCTAGAACAAACTGATCTTTTTCTACTGTGAATTATTCCACAGTTTTTTGCTGCTTGCTCTTCTCTAGCCAATAAATAGACATTTTAGTTCTAAGGTTCAAGCCCACAGAGAAATGATGGCGACCAAAGAAATATGTAGGGTGGAAATATCCCAACATGCTTACAACATACTACTACTTGATTATAAATTGTGTCCTGATTTTTTACAGCCTTTGAACCGTAAACATATTACGCTGTTTTAAAGTAGGTGCACAGGGCGACATTAGGATAGGTGTTATCGGCTTTAACAAACTTTTTTGGGACCAAAGTTACACGGCTGTGGAGTTTGTGTTTGTCTGTTTTTTTAAAATGTGTTTTGGCCTTAAATGGGTGTTTTCATCTAGTATTGTTGAACTGTCACACCAAACAGGCTGGTGAAGGCTCACACTTTAGTTTAGGGATCCATGTCAAGCCTTAGTTGTCTGGACACCTCCTGCAGAGGGGCTGCCCAGTTCACAGCAGCAGAATGAAGGCAGAGCTCTAAAGCATTAAGACTTGAATGGATTAGCTAAAGAGAGCTATTGCACAACTGAAGCGCTTATCAGAGTACAATTTCAGTTGTGGAATTAGCAATACAATGTATACTTTTGTCTTTGCAGCTTCTCCCATATGAGGACCAGTAATCAATTTCGTAAAAACCAATAATTTCTGTATCAGCATTAGAGAAGCCTTAGAAGTCTGGACAGAGCACCCCGCCTCTTTCCCGACATGAGAAGAAATATGAAAACTGATGTCTGAACTATCACCAAAGGCACACCTATTATAACTGGGTGTACTGAAGCTCTACTAAATCGGGGCTTGCATCAGCGCCTGCTGGATCCATAAAGTAGAGTGTGGCAGTGGCATCCCTGGGCAGGACCGGGGGGCCAGGCGGTCTGGGTCTCGACCGGGGCCTTGGTGGGCCGGGGGTGGTGATCACCATGGCCCGGTTCTGGTTTAGCAGGGCTTGGCCAGATGAGTTGTCGGTTGTCACCTCTTTGGGCTGCTCTCTCCGGCAGTGGTTGCTGTTCCACCAGGTTTCCAGGGCGGCTACCAGGAGGGCAAGTAGAAGCCCGGCGGCTAAGATGCAAAACACACCAGCAAAGCTGTGCAGACGCAGCGCCCGTCCTTCAGGCTGTGCGTCTGTGTGGCTCTGTAGATCACAGCGGCCTTTCTTTGGCCACCATTTTTGCTTCAGGATGTCTAGATCACCTTTCTCCTGAAGTTCCAAAATCCTGCAGTGGGGGAAAAACAATTTTTTGCTTATGTGAGTAATTTCATGTGAAGCACTGCAGGACAGTAGGCAATCAATACACTGTACAGAATCAAATGCAAGCTCAAAAAATTACAAAATAAAAAAAAGTTTTGTTCATTATTGTCCCCCAGTAAGGAAATTTAGATGGACGTATCATAGAAAATGATGGATAATTAATCTATATTAAAAAAAAAAACAATGAAAGAAGGATCAGAACAATTACCACACCATTATAACATAACCATAATTAAAAACAACAGCTCATTGAATAAATCTAATAAGGAAAAATGCTGCACTGCTAATGTTATCCATTCACATTGACTGTAGGATCATTAAAAACCCATAGAGGGTAAAATGCTATTAAACAGTGCAGGTTTTAGTTTACAGCAATAGAGTGCAAGACATGATTGATTTTTAACAAAACTGAAAAGACCAGTGTTTAGAAATCGTTACAGGGAGAGAAAAAAAACTGCTGCCAGAAAAAAAAATACAAATTTAACACTTAAATGCTACTAAAAGAAGATCAAATGGGGTGGTTAAAATGCAGGAGCACAGAGAGAAAAGAAGAAACAAATGTAGTATGATCATGAAGGAGTGAAACTAAAGCTGTGCTGTACCCCTGGAGTGCTTTAGTCGCTGTAACTTGGCAGCCTTTATAAAAGGTGTAATACTTTCCTACTTCTGTGCAATTTTTCCTTGCTCTAGCACTTAAAGATCTTAAAAATGTGAAGTGCATTATAAATGTAATAAATTATTAGTTCTCCTATAGATTTTTCAAAACTGCAGTTGGATATAATTACCAACAGCCAGAGTCACAGTTTTATACACTATGATAAATAATGCAAACACAGAAAGGGCGCCCTTTTAAGTTTGAAACACTTTGCTAGAAGTGGGGTATATAAGACACAACATTAAGCTTAAAAACCTGGATAAACGAACTAAAATTGCATCATTGGTGGACAAACTAGACAAACCAAAAATTGCCCTCAACATAAATGCAACACAGTCCACATTGACAGAGGTTCTGATGTCTGACAATAAGAGAAAAGTCGTGACACAAATAAGGTTTTACAGTTAAACTAAAAAGCTAAAGCTTCTTTTTGATGTCACAATGATACCACCTTATAGATTTCTTGTCTAAGACCTCACTGAACTGATTATAAAGACAAATCATGTGCTTTATTGTAGAGGTAGAAGCTCAAGACCATGCTGCAATTTGGAATGACAGATGGGAAAAGATCATAGCATGGATGTACAACAACGCTGCATGATACGGCAACTCCCTTCTAATAAAACAGACGCAGTTCAGAATAGAATTACCTTTTTGCATACAGTAATATGCTTGTTATTTGACCTTGGAATTTTAGGTTTTAAAAAACAGTAGCCAGATAATTTGCTTTGTTTATTGGTATAACCATTTCATTGTCAAAAAAATACAGAAAGGTGCTACCTGAACTGGTATGCCTTGAGATGTTAAAAAAAATAAATAATGATTGACAACATTTTTTAGTCAAATGCAATGATTCAAGTCACTTGGAGATATAGACTAAGGCACTTGCTAAGCTTTGCACTGTAAGGCAGGTTTTTTTTCTGACACATAAATAACTGTGTCGCCAGCATATAGCTGAAAGTTAAAACTCTGACAGCAGCCCAGTAGGTCATTTGTTTACATAAAAACTAGCTAAGGACCTAATACTGACCCTTAAGGCACCCTCATGTCATTAGGAAAGAGATCCGATTTAAGTGCACAAACCTTAACACATTGCTGTCTTTCTTCTAAATAGTACTAAATCTATGTACATCATGGAACTTTACACTTAAGTCCACTTAAAATAAAATAAAAAAAATCATTATTAAAATTTGATATTATGATCTTAACAATCTAAGGTTTTACAGTATATTTAACATTTCTCTATCAGACAGTTAATGACATCCTAAATAAGAATGAAATGCTAAAAAGGTTAATTGCTGACAAAGTTGTTTTTTTAATGTCTGAAGCACCGTACTTGAGGTAAGAAGAAAGCTGATTGGACCAAAGTCCTCTTGTTTGTTTTGTTTTAAATCAATAGAGAGGCTGCAAAAGCAGAAGGTGGTAGCATTCTATGGTAAGTGATCGTTTGTTGAGCCATATCACTTTTTGTTGATCCTCGAACTTTTATCAATTTCAAACTGAGCAACCTGTTTGGGAAGTTTAAAATCTGTAACCCCCCCCAATTTTCCTCTACTGATGAAATTTACAGTATTGAGATAACGATTTAGTTTTAGAGTAGATCTTGTCACATGTAGACTGTCAAAAAAAAGTTCACTCTAAGGCCGGGTTCCTCAGCTCCGATGTCGTACACATTTTAGATGTGTCTCTGCTTCCTAACCTGAATCAAATGGCTGAATTACCTCCTCATTTGCAGAAGGGTTTTGCAAAATCCTGCTCATGACCTGATTATTTGACTCAGGTGTGTTGAAAAAACACACAACTACGTAAAAGGTACAGGACACTTAACCTCTAGGACCGGAACCCCTGTGTTAGAAAAATGTAAATGATATCATTTTATTTGTACTAAATTGCAGGCATTTGGCCTCCTATGAATGTAGTGTTGTTTTAACTTCAAACAGGGATAACAAATGTTTCTCAAAGGAAGGGAAATGTGCCTTATTCAGCTGTGCGGTTGCGGAGGACTGATAAACACCGGCAATAAACGTGCACCTCCGTTTTTGTATAAGATTTTGTAGTAAATGTCTGACCCCCCGATGTCTCTTTGAGGTCAGATAATAAAGGCAGGGGACAGAGAGGTCCCGGCAGAGTTGACCACAGACATTCAGGGAGTCATTCTCTATCTGGTTCCACTCTCCTCTTCTGCAGAAAAGTAACTTGTGTTGGATATTTCTAGGACAATAAGGGGTTATTATCATTAACCCTACTACCCTGCCTCTATGTGTATTAGGAGGAAGATGTCTCACACACTATACCCTAAAAATACAGGTTGAAAGGTGGTTGTAAAAAAACTTGGGCTTGAAAAACTTCATTTTAAGATTTTTTAACTCCGATTTTAAATTAAATATTTTCCTTTTCCCCATGATGTTTTCTTGATGTTATGATATCCTTTTTTTAATTCCACAAAGATGTTTAAAGAGTCATACATAAGATACACTTCTTTTGCAGTGTTAAAAGGCATTTTAAGCAAGATTTTAATACCAAAATGACTAATTGAATGTTTTTCTGATCTTCTGCCACAATATGATTGGCCTGTGCAGTAATAAATGCTTCCAAGTGCTGATTAAGAAAACAGCCTGTACTCTACGATTAATTTACACTATATTTACTTTTTTTTAAAATCATGATCTCAAGAAGAAAAGCAATCAAACATAATTGTAACTATTTCTTTAATTAAATGTTTCTATTTCCCATTCAGTAAAAATATGTACCTCTAAGCTGCATTGCTGATGCAGTAAAATTGATATTTATACAGTGTGTGCATATTGTGAAGGGCTTTTTCTATTCATAGCTACAAACTGGATAAAACCAGGCTTGTGCTTTTGCACAAATTACATGATTTAGGCCATACACCTAGCCTTGGTACATCTGTGGTGAAACAAATTTGTGTGCAGTTTTTTTGTCTTTATTGCAAGCACTCTCATCCATGAGACGTCACAGCATTATATTGATCTGTCTCTCAATGCGGGCACATTCACAGCTCTTATTCCATTCAAGAAATCAGTGTGATCAATCTTTGTATCTAAGATCTTATATCAAAGATTGGTAAAAACTGGTGCCCTATATCTTTTTATTTTGAAGACCGGCCTAAAAGCATATTGTGAAAGATCAATGTTGTCTCTATAAAAAACAAATGTTTAAATGAATATCAGGATTCTACCAACACCACTCAATGACTAAAGATTGGGGCCATCTGTGGCTCAGGCATTAGAGTAGCTGCTTTTCTAAGAAAATGTTGCAGCTGTCTCTTTAATTTTATTCAAATCTCATGTCTTTAACACATGAGCTCTAACCTATTTTGTTAGCATATTCAGTACTCTTTCAGACAATACACAAATCTCGCCAGGCATTTTTCATTTTCTAATATTCGTTTGATAATGAATAGATATTAAAGACTGTAAGATATACCCTTTTAAATCAAACCACTTTGTGAAACAGTTTCTTGTCTAAAGCTTTTTTTGTTACATTTTAATCTTGGTAATTGTTACTTACAATATCAGTCCAAGGATCCTAAGATTTAATATCTCACCAGATGTTTTGCTTTAGTGATTAAAGAAGAACACCTTTATTTTTATGAGCTGTATATTCAAATAAAATCAATGTCCACATTTATGGACAGACAAGCATTCATATCCAATGCATTTTGTTCTGGCATACAATCATTTAATCTCTGTGGATCTAGTGTCCACTCCAGTCAAAGGAAATTTTGTTAAAACTACAGATTTTTAAACTAAGCATTCTTGACTAATGATTGTTTTATTGCAAAATAAGGGTAATATTTATATTTCAGGAAATAGTAAAGTAGTCATAATTTCAAAAAACATATAAATCTCCTTTTGATTAAAATAACCTCTGTAAAACTATGTACACGTTAATTCCCTTTGGTCTATAATTTTTGTAACTGGATTTAAACTTAATTATACAAAATGTTTACCATACATACTTCTGAGAAAAGAGGTCTCTGTAAGGACTGCCGTGTTGCAGGGCCATGCCGTAGCCTCTGGTGCTAATACTGTTTCCTGCTATAGTCAGTGTGCAGTCGTCATCTGTCAGAGCAGCATACTCCACCACTGCCATGTCCCACAGAAATGCGTATGACTCTCGCTTCGCCTGTACATTGGAAACAGTTTCCACAACACCCACACAAAAACAGGAAAAATGGTAATTACATAAGATGTTTACAGGAAAGCAGTACAGACATATTGCTTCAACAAGCAATGCTTATGGCTTTGTTTCACTAAATAGACAGCATAATTTAACTTTCCAAAATAAATTAGGGGCAGATTTCAGTCATTTTAAAAATTGAAGGTAACATTTTTTTTTTCTTCCAGATTCTAAGAAATTTGGGCATCAACAAGGTTGTTTAATCACTAACCCTTTATTGACATTTTCTATTTTTAAAGAAAATACAGTATTTTTTTTTTTCATTAAAATCAATGTTTTCTGATATTGGGGCAAACCACACAATTGTCTTGTCCCAGAAAAAAAATGGAAAAAATCTGACTACTAGTTTCATCAAGACACAAAAAATTGTCTTTATTTATCAACTACAAAGAAAATTCAGTAAACAATATTTTGCTCAAGTATATTGTAAAGCACACAACTGGATTTTCCAACAGTTAATCCTCTTAATTCCCATCCGATATGCTAAAATTATGCTGTATTCCTGTCAATTTAAAGTCAAAATGCAAAAATGCAGGAATAATTATTGTGTTGTCAGCTTAACCAGAAGGCATTTAAGGTGAGTACAACTGTTTAAAAATCTGCAGTCTACTTTAGTTACATTTCAGAGAAAACACTACTTTCATTTGTTAACATGGTCTCAGACGTTTTCAAATGATTAAGGACATATGCATTCTTTAATTGCCTTTTTTTCCATGTTAAAAACAATTTTAAATGTAGTGTTAAAGGGATAGTTCGGTATTTTTGACATGAATCTGTATGGCATCCCCATCACCAGCGGCATGCAATCACACTGACTTACCCCTGGCAGCGTCCTGTGAGCAGAGTTATCGTCCAGTTTTGGTCAAGCCGAAAGTAGTCCTGCAGGTTTTTAGGAACAGCGAAATAAAACTTTTCTCTTCCCAAAACATTATGTGTTCAAAAGAGTGATATTTTCGCATCCCAAAAACATTGTAGTGGAAAAAGTCACACGTCGTTATCAATTGGTCCTATTTTCTCTCTGTTCGTATCAGTGCGCGCCGTCATTCAGACAGCGAGCCCAACAACAGCCATGTCTCCTTCCGCGGAAGGAGACATGGCTGTTAAAATATCACTCTTTTGAACACATAATGTTTTGGGAAGAGAATGTTTTTGGGAAGAGAAAAGTTTTATTTCGCTGTTCCTAAAAACCTGCAGGACTACTTTCGGCTTGACCAAAACTGGACGATAAATCTGCTCACAGGACGCTGCCAGGGGTAAGTCAGTGTGATTGCATGCCGCTGGTGATGGGGATGCCATACAGATTCATGTCAAAAATACTGAACTATCCCTTTAATAGCAGACTATAACTTGGCTCATCACGATTTGAACAATAAAAACTTAACCAGTATTTACACACCTTTTTGATGCCCTCTGATGGACTTGAAACTGAGTTATCAAAGCCATTGTTCTTGTTGACGACCTTCCAGAGCTCAGCAAATGTGCTGTCCTGCTCCAAAGGGTTGGTGCCTTTGGCACGGAAATATTCATACACAGCTGAGTCCCGAACTGTCCCATAGGCAAGGTCCACTTGCTTGGAAAGATCCTGGAATGACCTTTTTTGGGAGAACAAAGAAAAGTTATTGACCCACTCACACTTTTAGTGTAAGTTAAAAACATCCACCTTATTTCAATGCTAAAAAAAAAAAAAAAAAAAAAATTATTATTCAAATTGTTAATTATTTTGGGGTAAAAAGCTTAGACCTCATTTAATAAATGAATCAATTTATTTCTTAAAAAAAAAAAAAGTTATGGAGTCTAACAACAATGACTTAAAGGAGGGCATACACTGTTTGAGTTTTTGCCCTTTTCTGGCTGATTCTCCAGTGGTGTCTATGAGCCGATACACCTGAACCTTGTGCGCTGCGCATGTGTAAACGTGGGAATTCTTCTTCTTCTACTGTCTATGTTTGGGTTCCAGATTGATGACTCCGACTAGTGCCATCTCTAGACGCTGAGGTAGTTTTTGGATGTAGAGTGTGAGCAGTTAGATCGCATCAGGCCTCAAAATGTAAGAACATACATCGTGAGCTGTGAACTTTTAAACCTTGTGGTTTCGTCTTACAATTTGAGCTGTAGCTGAGTACAAAGATTGAAAATATAGTACAGTGTACGCCCGCCCTAAATGAGGGACTAACAAAGTGACTCCTCCACATCAACATAACTGTTTTTCAGAGGCTGGGTCAGAGCAGTCTCATTTTCAAACGGAGTCAGTTGAATTGAAAAAGCTTCCTGGATGAGAAGCGAAACATCTTCAAACTTGGAAACAAAGTCCAGTGGATTGTTTTTACTTTTTTGGATTGAACTGATTCAAAGCAGACCATAAAGCCATTTACCTATACACCTCTAGCCCTACTTTTAACTATTTGTTAACAATTTAAAATACATATGAGGTATTTTTAATCTGCACTATTTTTAGGTTTTCTCTTTACTTTTTTATACACCCTAGCCCTGCCAGATTTATTCTACCTTTTCATTTTACTAAAATTTTTCTTTGGACTAGAATAATGAGTTCTTGGAGTTAACTAGCCAGAGCCCATACTTGATTCTAAAAGATTAGGTTGATTTCAAACAGGCTTCCACCTCCAACAGTTGAAGGTCATTACCAAAGAAGAATTTTCAAAATACCAGTCCAAACACGGAAAAAAAACTTGACTTGAAATAGTGACTTTTTTCCACTTTAAAAAAAAAAAAAAAACTGTTATCGTGGCGATGGTGTTTGTTGTGCAGGGTTAAGCACATGACTGGTTTACAGAGGCCCTCAATGCAGCTGTCATACGTTCGACTCACGGCTTTGTGACATTTGCCTTTGCCCCTATCTCACCTCCCATTTCCTGTCTGCTTACTTTCAGAAATACCAAGAATAAAGGCCACTAGGGGCTAAAAATAATCTTAAAAAAAGGAAAAGTAAACAGGGTATGATGCTATAAAGAAAATCAAAACAAAAAGATTAAAACGTACATTTTTGGAGGTACAAATTTGATCTTAATTCAGAAAATAAATCAGTTGAAATATAAAAATACATTTATTTATATATATGGGGTATGGTTCATTTTTGACTTCAGTCTATCTGAGATTTTTCCTACAGAATGCAAATTGATAAAGTATCCTTATTTAAAAATCTGAAAATTTTTTTAAGTGCAAAACTGCCTTTTCATGAAACCATTTAAAAAAATTACATGTCAATTTAGAAATGTGAGATATTATTTCACTTACAGATTGGATTAAGTGAAGTCTGTACCTAGACATATATTTTACCATAAACTTCCTCCTTCGATATGCAGTCATCAATCTCACGGTATTTACTTACCTAAATTAGATCCAGTCTAGGTAGACTACTTGTTGCTTCTAAGCTAGATTGTCTTAAGTATTTCCAGCAATGATGAGTTAGGCAAATTAAAACATGACAAAGAGCTTTCAGTATAGGACTCTAAAATATTGACTTAAATTATCAGTGTCTGCTTATTAATTATTTGATGTGGTTTTGAACAGTTCAATGTCAGCTGACTCTTTTTATGAATACTTACAAATACTTTAGCTGTATGCCTAAAACAAGATACATAATTGGATGCAGCTCTTTTCCTTGCTTTCTCCATCTCTCTTAAAAGATAAACTGATGAATATTGTGTATGAATAGATTAATCATACAACTGACTGCAAACGTTAGGCTTGTCTTGCTGTTTACTTAAGTCTGTAGTGCCTTCTCTCATATAGCTATATTTTCACTGCTGATCATCACCTTAATATGACCTGACTCATTTTTAGAGAACGCATTCTTCTCAGAAAGTAAGCAACCTTGCAATTTTGCAACAAGCTCTGATGATAAGCATTATAAAATCTCTAGATCTGTTCAACTCAGCCTTTTCTTTTTGTGTGCATGAATTCTATTGGTCTGAGATATTGTGTGTTTGGAGTGGTTAGGATATGTTTTGACTGATTTTGAATTATTCTTTAATTAAAAAACAAAACAAAGAAACACTATTTAAAGGCATTTGATCAAGGTGGAATGAGAAAGATAAATACCCCTTTTCTAACATCAGTAATTAAAACGATAAAAAAGCAATATAATAAAAAACAATCAAAACAAAATAATAAAAGTAAAAAGTTTGATGATTTGCTGGCATGCACAAGGCTACCGTTAGTATTGCAAGTATTACACCTTTAAGTTGAAAGAACTGTATCCACCATGTGCTGGTATAAATGTTTACAAATAATTTCATGTATATATATATATATATATATATATATATATATATATATATATATATATATATATATATATATATATATATATATATATATATATATATATATATATATATATGCAGTATATATAATAATTTTTTTTTCTTTTATTCTCATTTATCAAATCAGCAAGGAAATCCAAAAGACACGCAACAGAAGACAGCGATGGGAAAATTACACGCAAAAACATCACAATCCCTTATGTTGCTGGAGTGTCTGAAAAGCTCAAGAGGATTTTCTCCAAACACAAGATCCCAGTACATTTCAAGCCAAACCAAACCCTTAAACAGAGGCTAGTGCATCCTAAAGATAAAACCCCCAGACCGAATATGAGCGGAGCGGTATATGCTGTTCAGTGCAGCGAGGAATGCTCTGATCTTTATATTGGCGAAACAAAACAACCTCTCCACAGACGCATGGCCCAACACAGAAGAGCAGCGGCCTCTGGACAAGACTCCGCAGTACACCTACACCTTGTGGACAAAGGACATTCTTTTGAGGACCAGAATGTCCATATTCTGGATAAAGAAAATAGGTGGTTTGAGAGGGGTGTGAAGGAAGCCATCTATGTTAAGAGAGAAAAAACAACTTTAAACAGAGGTGGTGGACTCAGATTCCAGCTTCCAAAAACATACAATTCAATCATAGACATGATCCCTTCCAGATATCACCAAACCCCCCACCCCATCACAGAGGAACGAGGGACCTACCCGCCCCAGCCGGTGAACAATACCTCCTTAACGACCAACCCTTAACAATCATAGACAGGTCTCAGGTATTACAGGAGACAATCCCCCCCTTAATGGCAATCCCCCCTTTAACGACCGACCCTCAGAATCATAGACAGGTTCAGATATTACAGGCTAACGATGGAACTAACGACCCATTCATCGGTTACCATTGCATGTTTCCAAGCAATACGAGGCCTTGTCCATATGAGACTCAAACTCACTGCGGATCCAGACATTTGAATTGAGAAAGCTTCCTGGAGAGGTGGCGAAACGTCTTCAAATCTTGAAAACCAAGTCCAGTGGATATTTTTTGAATTTTTACGGAATTTTATTGTCATTGTGATATAATTTGTTAATCTATTACTTATTAGATGGAATGGCTAAAAAAAAAACAAAAAAACACAACAAGCTTTTCATTTCAGTTTATATTTTTACACAAAACTGAGAGGTTCCTTAAACATCTAGAATATTCTGTGAATGTTGCTAATATTTAATAAAATGTTTGGGTTGTGTAGGAAATACACTGTTAGCCACAGGTAACTCGAACCCAGTTTATTATAAAAATAATACAATTGAGCAAAGTTGTAAAAAAAAAAAAGAAAAAAATATAGAACTAGGGTTTCTTGTAGTTTTGGAGTTATAAATTAGGCTCACAGACCTTTAGCTAATAGACGATAATGAGAACAATTCCAGGTTTCAGTTAAGTGCTTTGGCCAAATTGACTCAAAGCAATAACTCAGTTGAACACTGTATTCCTTCTGGGCTTAACACTAAAGGTTTTATGGAGTTCTTTACTCATAAAATGTACTAATTGGAAAGAATTTTCCCCTCTGCACTGCTGCAATAGTTCTTATTCCTGACAACCTTTCCTTCTAATAACTCTCAAAGTCTTTAGGATTTTTTTTTACATTGTATCATTTCTATTGTTCTTGATGTACTTGGTTCTATTCTGTGCATTATATTTAAGATAAGTTGATGTTATTAAGAAAATATTTTAACCTCTGCTCCTGAAGTTAAAAGGTTGTTCTAAACTCATCTATAGAGAGGCTGATCTAGCAGACAATGCTGTGTTTTAAATATTGTCTATTAAATTGAACAACTTTCAAAGACTAAGCAGCTAACACCTAACTAAGAGCCTTTTGAGTAAGTTCTGTTCTGATCAAGTGTAGCTGGCTTACTGTGTCGGGGAGCTGAATTATTAACAGGTAATATAAAGGCAAGTTTATTTTACAATTCAGTACATGGACTATTTAAAGTGCTTTACATGAATAAGATAATAAAGTAGGAGGAAAATAACAGCAGAATAAAGGCAAATAAAAATAAAAAAAATAAAATCTCTTTCTTGTCCTACAATGGGGAAATACACTCTCTGCATTTAACCCATCCCCTTGGGGTGCAGGAGGCAACCATTGTGTGGCGCCTAGGGAGCAGTGTGGGTTAAAGGTCTTGCTTAGGGATCGAGAGTGAAGGCTGTGGGGATCGAACCTGGTACTTTCAACCTTCTCAGAGCACAGGTGCACTGCTCTAACCACTGGGCCAACACTCCCCTAAAACTGTTGGACTACAACTTTAAACTAATA